GCAAAAGGTTTACAGTTAGAAACGCAAAGTCGCCGTTCAACATGCCGAGGTCGAGTGCGTTCAGCATAATCGCGCGCATGTCGCCACCATAGCATAACATGACAAATACTGAAACAAAACACAGAGAGAGTAAAAACAAGTGCGCATGCGTGAAGCTACTGGGGTAAGCCTGTATCTGGGTATCGAAGCGATAGCTTAAATGTCATGCGCAGACGCTACCCCAAATTGTTCAAGCTGAAGTCGAAACGGACGACAAATCTACAGCCAATTGATGTTTAAAAGCTGAAAATGTTACTGGTTAAGGAAATTTTTAAAATACTGTCCAGGCTAACTAATCAAACTTTGGGAAGGAAAAAGTTTGGTTGGATAACAAAATCAATTTTCCTGAGCTAAATAACATTCTGAATAAAGGTGATAATTTTTTAAAGAAAAGTGTCGGTGTAATGTTTTACAAGATAATTTGGTTCTATCAACAGAGTTGATAATGTAAATTGGCCACTGTAAAAAGTTTCTGAGCCGGACATTTCAAGCCTTGCCAAAAATTGTAATCTTATTTAAAGTTTACGATAAAGTAATTCAAGCTATGAACTGATGATACAAGACCAAATATTTCATAAATAAATTACTTTACGATAATTTGTTACATAATTGGTAATACGACCTTCATGTTCTACGGTTCAAGGATTCTAAAGCTTGCTTTTTCAAATTAGCCACACGTTACGCGCTCGGCCAGTTTGACATTACTCGCTTTACTGCGCCATGAACTGTGTTCTATTCAGTTTTATTAAAATTTCTCATTTATTTCTGCGTCCACTTACTTCGCGCCGTTTCCTTGGCGTGTAACAGCGTGCTTTTAAACTCCTCTCTTTCTGTCACCAAAACATGCCCTGGACTAAGAGTGTGTAAGTATCTAATCTCGATGTCGTTCTCCAGAAAGTCTTTCATCAAGCCCGACATAGCCAGTTGCCATATACTCTCGGTCGATGCCAAAATTCCGATGCTCTTCCATTTGAAATAGCGAAATACCGACAGAAACAATTTTCCCATTTTTGAGAAGGACCCAACAGTTCGTGCAAACGTCTGGTAAATGCTTTTCTCTGATAGCGTCGGCGATTCACATCCCCAAGAAACCATCGGAAGATTCCACGAGGAGGCTAAAATCGCGGCCGGTCCGCAGATGATATCACATCCATCTCCAATAATAGCGTCCACACCTGCGATTCGGAATTCCACTGCTTGATTCAGACCTTCCGCAGCTAGACACATAGAGTCGTTCCACAGAAAAGTCATATTATAGCCAGGTAATAGTGTTTGGTCTTCATTTATCCGATCAACAGCAATGGTTATGGCGGAGGCTGAAGTTTTCCCGATTGGCCAGTAACCAGTCATGGGGAGTAACACTCCAATTTTTACCTCCTTCTCGTTGTCCGTAATCGCTTGATTTTCATCGTGACGGTGGCCTGTCACCGTGTCGACGAAAAGGGAGATCGAAGCAATAAGGAAAAAGACTAGCTTTCTGCCACAAGGAACACTCATGACTCTCTCTGACCGAGAAATAACATGGAATTTGTCTTAATAGCTTTTTTTCATTTTTAAATTACCATACATTGAGCATTATTTCTCATCCAATGGTAAAAAACAAATCGAATGTAGGGACACTCTCTCTTTGATTGACCGAACTCAATGACGTCATGGTTTTAATTGATTGCCTGCCAGCCTGAGAGGATTCGTATTCTGAAAAGACTCAA